TCATCTTTAAAAAAAAAAAAAAAAAAAAAAAAAATATATATATATATATATATATATATATAGCAAAACAATTTGTCTGTGCCAGATCATTCCGCTATCAAGCATTTGTGGGTTTGTTTCTATCATCCATTTTCTGCTGTCTTGTTTCCTTTTGTACTTTGGTCATCTTTGTCAATATTTTGTTCATTGTAATTTCAAAACTATTTGACACATAATTTAAGGATAGGGTGAAAGCTTCCTCCAGAAATCTGCTTGCTTTCACAACACACCTGAGATCATTTCAAGTCTGAAGTTGCCTTCACTAAATGTTGAGGTTCTGTGGGCCACTTGGGGGGACCCAACCCAGCCCTCAAGCCCCTGTGAGGACAAGATTACTTGTGATTCACCCTCATTTTGAGGGTGTAGCTCTTCTGCACCTCAGCTTAACCCATCAAAAAGGATTAGACTCCTCGTCTTGGGCCAGCCCTTGGGTCTGACCTGCATTCATCTCACTCCTACAAGGCCTCGCTCAGTTTGCAGTTACTTATTCCAAAGCAAGATATTCACCCAGCCATATAATCAAGAAAAATTGAATTAAACAAAGTGGAGATGTTTATCCTCACACCTTAGGAAGGGCAATCTCTCTGTCCCCCACTCCTCAAAGCTGTCCCATAAAGGAGGAACCAGTCTTATTGAGAGCACAGCCAGCACCAAGCTGGCACCACACACAAGAAAACTGGGACCAAAAAATGCTGCCTGAGGCTTGGTTATGGGATGATGGGCCTCCGTAAGACAGGTCTCTTCACTGAAGGGATGTAACCAGAGGCTGGACAGGCCCTGGCGGGAAACATTGCAGAGACCATTCAAACCCATACTGCAGGGGCTGAAGGGGACTAGCTATCTCAGAGGTACTTATGATTTTATAGTCTTACCATATCCTTGCCCCTAAGGAAGGGTCACATGTCCCCACAGCCATCCCCAGCCTCCCTCATGAGCTCAGTCAACATGGGCTCAAAGCTGCGAGAATTTAATATTTTATTTTAAAACAATAGTAAACAATTTTGTTGATTTTTCTTAAACCACCTCACACTTGGCTTGTCTCAGGCAAAAAGTAAAAAATAAAAATAATAAGGGAAGGAAAGGGAAATGTGGGGACTGACCTACCTTCCCTAGAAATAAGCCCCTGGTCCTGGCATCTGGAATGGCTTTTGGACACTGTCTTTAACAAATGAGAAAAGAAAGCACCAAAATATTGTGCTTCAGCAGCAGATTAGGAACTTCCACAAAGAAAAAGGGAGGGGGGGGATTTGAACACAGGTCCCAAGTGGCCTGGTTCAGTTCTCAAAAATTCCGAGATACTGGAAGCTCTCCTGTCCACGACTGTTTCAGAGCGACTTAGAGATGGGGTCCCTTTAGGAAGAGCCCTCCTCCAAGCTGGTCTGGTGGGGATCTACGAACCCACACCCTGGACACAGGTTCCCAGCCTATGGGAGGTGGGTCAGGAAGGACAAGGACATATTCAGAGTGCACAGGGGGAAGGGTGAGGGACATCAAGCACCCACTGCCTCACTCCTCTCCTCCCGGCTCCTGGTTCCTGTGTGTTTTGTTCGAGTGGGGATGAAGACTCACTGCTACTGGATGGCAGGACAAAAAAGAGCTGTAAACAGCTGGGGTTTGCTCACCCACATGTGCAGGCTCTTTTGTCAGAAGGGGACTACTGTCTTGGGGACAGGGGACCAGAGAAAGCCCTTGTGGTGTAGGGTTGACACAGGGTAGAATACATGATAGCAGCCGCCAGGCACGTGCTCGCTCTTGGCCCTGCCCCAGACAAGGAAACACTGAACGAGGTTCTGGAATGGCAATGGTGGCAGGGAGGGCACAGGGATGCTCCCCTCCTTCTGGCCCCCAGGCCACTTCTCAGGCCCAGGAAGAGGCAGTCTGCCCCCTGGGCTCAGGGCAAAGGGCCTGGGAAGCTGACCTGGGTCTCTCAGTTCACAGGGCAGCCACTGCAGAGCAGGCTCTTCTGGGCCCATCTCCAAAATCTCATCTGCCTTGACAAAACCAAAAAATAAATAGTGTGACTTTTCACGCCACCTGGAATTCCTGGCCCCAAGACCAGAGGCACAAGCCTTTCTCTACCCTACACCCTGGTGCCCATGCCAAGGGCACTTTCCGCCCGGCCGGGACTGGCAGCAGCACAGCGAGGATCTCTGGCCTTGTGGCCCCCAGGCAGCAGACCCTCTAGGGTCCTGGTTGAGGGGCTGTCTTGGCCCTTTGGTCCACCATGTTTGTTAAAATTAAAATAAGAAAAAAAAAGGCTCCACGTGGTGACTTGGGTCTGTAGAGGTCTCTGCTTCGTCCCTCTGTCCATCATTCTGTCCGTCCTACAAGGCATCATGCAGGCCAGATCTGGAGGCTGGACCCTGCTACACCCACCGGTCACTGCAGCTTCGTCCCCAGCTTGCGTTGTCTGTTTCTGCAAAATGGGGCGGGGGTCGGATGTGGGGATGCCTGGTGTTCAGTGTCCCCTCCCCATCTGTAGTTCCAACAAAATGGACCAGTGACACCCCCAGAAGCCACAGTGATTGACATGAGCTCATAGCTCCTGGCCTGGGATTGGGACCTAGAGAGGGGCAATCTCCCAGGCTAGGCTTCTACCATAATGTCTCAGCTCTGGAGTCCAGGAAGTACAGCCAGGAGATTGGGGTGGGCATGGGGGCCAGGACAAGATGACAGAGGCAAGAGAGACCTGGCTGGATTCCAACTAATTATGGGAGTTCCCTTTACAGACAAGCCAGCACAAGCAGGTTCTGTCATCCTCAACCAAAACAACTACAAAAAGTACTGAGCTCTCTATTCAGAGGTATGTAAGCAAAGGTATGAGAACTACGGACGGAGGTAAGAAAGGGGATTTGAGCAGCTGGTTTGGCGTGTGGTCATGTCCATGACGGGCCCAGGAACCTGAGGGAAGCAGGGATAATCACCTCCATTTTCTAAAGGGGCTGATTGAGCTCAGAAAGGAGAATGGGGCTTGTCTAGGGTCCCCATTAAAATCTAGAAACTTGACTGTGGCCAACAAGGCCCTGTGTCATCTGGCCCCAGCCTCCTCCCACATCCCTCCCCTGGCTCTCCAGGCTCCAGCCACGCCAGCCTGTCTGGTGGACTCACCAAACTTAATTTGCCTCAGGAGTTACATTTGCTATTCCCTCTGCTGAGAACTCTCCCTGCCAGCCCCCAACTTCAACAGGCCCACTCCCCAGAGGCCACCCCCACCCCCACAGTAGGTTCCTGTCACAAGCTCTCCAGCCTCTGCACTGCGCTCCACAGCACTGACCACACAGGCAGGCGCATCATTCCTGGTGTCTCCCCTACCTGGGGAGTGCCATGAGGCTGGGGCCGCGCAGTCTCACCCGGTCACAAGCTCTCCAGCCTCTGCACTGCGCTCCACAGCACTGACCACACAGGCAGGCGCATCGTTCCTGGTGTCTCCCCTACCTGGGGAGTGCCATGAGGCTGGGGCCGCGCAGTCTCACCCGGTGCTCACCCCCAGCACACAGCCTGGCACAGGGCAGATGAGCACTGAGATTTTGGCAAGTGAAGGCAGGTGGGGGAACAGCTGGGAAGGGTGGAGTAAAGGCAGGGCTGGCCACTCCGGGAGGCAGGTGCAGAGCTCAGTGGGGCCAGCTGGGACCTTTCTGCCACTAATGGGATTGCCCTACCCTAACCCCCTCAAATCCCCTTTCCTCATGGATCCCAGGCTTTACCTTTAAGCTTGTTAGGATAATTTGGACCTTGATGCACTAAACACATTTCCTGGCTGCTGGGATGCCCCACCCTGCCCTGCCCCACGTGTCCTCTCGCCCCTCCTCCAAAAACCTCCCAGGCTTCTTCTAGAGCCTGATCCCACCTCAGCTCCCCTCTGAACCCAGGGAGGA